TTATCACTGGATGAATTGGTACTTAGTAACTATTAAGATGAAGACTGCAGATGGTAACTGTATCTGATGGGAAGCATCTGCCATGGCAATGTATTCAGTAGGTACCTGGAGTCTTAACATGCACTGTTCATTGCCCAGCTTCTGAGAATGCAGCATAATAGTATGGTTTTGTATAAATGTAAGACCCCTATTTGGAGTTATCAAAATGGTGAGTGAATGTATCTAAGGACATGGAATTAAATTATTGATAGAAGTCTAATAATTTTAAACTCAGTGTTTTAGAGGTTTGTCTAACAGAAAGGAGAAATAGTCTTATATGCAAAATTATTCCTCTTCACATAGCACCTCTTGGTGGCTTTGGGGAAAACTGATGAATGAAAAAGAAAGGAATCTAAACATAGATTCCTAATGTATGAGAGTGGCCAATATGAAAGTGTTGTTGATCTGATATAAAACCTTTCTTAAGATGTAGGGTCTAGGAATGCAATGCTGTTAATTGAAGGGTGGTTAATGGAGATAATGATGACAGAAACCTGCAATTTTGTCTAAAGCAGCCCTTTCCTAACTTCTTCAAACTGTATTTTCTTACTGAATTATTACTGCATACTTTAAACTAGGTGCAGCTGCCATTCTAACAGTCTCATGTTATCTAGGATACTAGGATATCAAAGGCTGATACTGAACTTGCTATATTGGTGTTATTGTTTTTAAACGTCTACTTAAATTGAGCATACTGTCTTCTCTTGAGTGATGTGAGCATGACTCAATGCCCTGTATTCTCTTTACGGGTGATACTTCATGATGTTTTTGTGATATTTAAATAGTTAGATGTTAGATAAATGGGAATATCAAGTCCTTTTCTTTGCTTCAGTTCTTTCCCCTCACATTACCTGCCTGTTTCCATATTTTAACAAGTGATCAAGTCTTTTCAGTACCATACTACAGAGTCTTTATGGTATCCTTTGTTTTTAGGGCTTCTAAAATGACAAATTATTTTTAGATGTTTTAAGGTTTCATAATAATCTTCTGATTTTATTTCATGTTGTCCTGAGTTGAATGGAGTGTCTATGCAGTGGTTCTATGTTTGTACAGGTGTTCTAGAGAGGTGAAATGAAGCAGGCAGGACTACATTTTCACAACCATTAAATGTTTTTGAGTGTCTTTTCCTGTTTTGAATTCTTCTTTCTTAAGATTAAGTGTGTTTAAGCATTCTAGAACTTAGGTAATCTAAATCAATATTTATTGTTGAAAAGAGGAGACAAAGCATTGAACCTTCTGGTCCAGGTCTTTGTCAAACGGTTGGTAGAATAGTGAGTCCTGATTCCTGTACACCACTTCTCATCATGTCTTCTGTTTTGTCATTAGGTTCAGGAAATATATGTTTCACAAAATATGCTGCTTCTCACTTAATCTACCTAAATATTCCTTTCCTCAAGTAATTAATATAATGAGCAGAGTAAGCAGAGTGGATAAATATACCTTACTTGCAATACTGAACTTGTAAATAATTAAACAATTATCATCACTGTCAGGTTATTATTGTAAGCAGCTTTTTCAGGTTTTGGTGTTGGTTACTTAATGCTATGAGGTGAAGAAATAGCAGTGGAACAGACTATACACTTGATAACGGGTCTGATTTGTACTCAGTGTAAATAAAAGCAGTCTTTAAACCTCCTTAATGATTTCTGCACAATGGTGTAATGACTTAGGATAAACTTTTCTTAATACTCAACTGCCTATTAAGTAAGATAATAAGCTAGCCATGCAGATGGAAAAATATAAAATATCCAAGCTGAACACAAATATTACATAGCAGCAACTAATCTACATAATAATTATAGCTGCAATAGTGGCAAGAGCTAGGCTGATCATGAGAGTCTGCTCCAAATGATACTTGGCAGGGGATAATTGTTTTACTTACATTCTAATTAAGAAATAATATGGGTGTGAGATTTTAGTAGAGGTGGAGTAAGTGCTATAAATATAGAAATACAGCCATTCAAATGTATTACAGACTTTAATACCTTTAGAGAATCAAATAGTGAATAGGTCTGTCAATGACTTACTGTTTTATTCTATTGGCAACCAAAAGTCAATATAGCAAAAAGAACTTAGGGTATGAAAACATTTTCAAAATGTAGAAACTACCTTTCTCCTTCAATTAAGTAAATTGCCTACTATTTTATTGAGTGTTAGGAGATTTCTAATTATTTTTATAATTTTATGAGTAAATGCATCTATTGACAAAAAGGTTGGGAGTAAGGAAGGAACACATACACAATAACAGAATTTTGCAACCTTAATAATTCTAAGTTCACTAACATAAAATGTACTTTTTAATTCAGCTCTTTTTGTTCAGTGATCTGTATTTCTGTGACTTTCTGTGTGAAAATCCATAGTTATGAATGTTTATAGCAAGCTATGAATCCCTGTGATGTTAATCAGAGGATGCTAGATGGAAAAGTCAAGAAAGACTGTGGTTTCATCCTCACTCTGCCAATGACTTCTGTAGTGACTGAGTTAGGCACTTAATCACCACCTCAGTTTCTTATCTGAGAGGAAGAGATAATTACAACTCCTTTACTATGAAAATCACATTAATTCATTCAGTATAAACTTGTACAGAGTATGAAAGCTTGCTGTGCAATGCAGAGGAGGACCATGCAGCAAAATCTGGTGTGTGAAGTCTACATTCTGAAAGACAAGGTCTAGCAGTTACAAAAGGCAGAGAAACTGGTGGGAAGAGAGAAATAAATGGAATGTGTAGTTTTTTAACCAGTCAGTAGCTGTCACAACATTGGGGGGCTCCCTGTGGGCCAGGGTCCTGCCTCAACTCCCTGGCTGGGGTGATGAGACAAGAGCCCTGGCTGCCAGGAGCCTTCTGGGTGCCAGCCTGGGATCTTAGCCTGTGGATCAGGCTAGGCAAGGCGAACCCGCTGTGGGTTGGCCCCGCTGGTGGGATCTGGCTCACTAAGGCTGGATAGGACAGGGCTGTGGGAGCGGGTGGTCCTGGACAGGGCTGAAATGGCATCCTGAGCCACAGAGGGGTCAGGGGAGACTCTGGGGGAGAGTGGCCAGGACCTTGGAGATGTATCTAGCTTCAATATTTTATTTTATTACAATGTCTGGCATAGTGAGCCTAGTTTTCTGTTTCTTGGATTATAATCGAAACCCTGATGGTGGTCAAGGCATTTCTTTGAGACTGATCTATACAGCTTGGTGATGTTATGGGTCACAAATTGTCTCCAGCCAGGTGTTACTCTGCTGGAAATGCCTCATGCTGTGCTGTACATCACTGTCCTCTGCAATGAGCTCATTTCTGTAGGTTGGGCTCTGTGCGTGTGCAGTGCAGGATATGTCATTCAATGCTGAGTGCAAAACATCTGATTCACTGTGTCCAAATTTGTCAGTGAATGAGGTCCAGTTATGCAAATACAAAGTACTTTTTATCTTCTGTCTGGTTATTTGCTTAGGAAGTGTACTGAATTACTGTTGTAACTCTGAATAATATGTTATTATCAATACAGCCACATCATGCACTGTGCTGTAATTGCTAGTAAGAACAGAGAGCCTGCTTTTTGGGAGGGAAACTGTCAAAGAAGAAAGAACCTGATTAGCTAATTAAGTTGTGATGCTGAGATTCTCTAAAAACAACTGTTGGTCTCTGTATTACATTTTTATTGTTGTTCTACTGTTCTTTGCTGACAGATTCAATGCAACTGCTTTAGTAGTTCAGTACTCTCAGGAAGTGCCTGTACCCTTACGTCCAGCTGTGTCCTCAAGGCCATCTCACAGCTATGTGTTTTGATCATCACAGTGTAGTATTCCTACTGTAGTAACAATAATCACATAACCGGCGTCAAGCATCTTTGCTTGTATAATAGATATCCCAAAGGGCATTAATGACAGTTGATTTCCTGCTTAGTGGCCTACAGACAAGTCATCTATAAACAAGATCTTTCAAGCTGTTGGTCTGTGCAGACCGCTTGAAGCAGTAATGTAGATCTATGTGTGAAGTTCAAGTGCTTGGTACTTCCTTTAGCACTGAATCGTGCTGCCTCCCCTATGCTTGTTTAGCATAACTTGTCAAGTCTTCAGGAAGTCATTAGTATTATGCTGTCACCAAAGGCACGCTCGTGGCACAGTCTGATACTTTGCATGTGGTCTGTTTTAAATGCTATACAATCCAGGCTGGCTTTTCCTGTCGTTTCCCTTAATTTTTGTGCAGCACCAGTGACTGTAGCACATAGCAGGCAGTTACAGAGCACGACATCCTTTCTGCAACATCCATGAGAGACTGATATGAATTCCAGTGCGTGTGACTCATCAGTAAGCTCAGTGCAGCTGAGGCTCCTCTTTAATTTCTAGCTCTCCGTTCTGTGAGAGCCACTTACTGACAGAATAATTCCTGTGATACATTAAACACTTTCATTGAAAAACTGGTTCACTGATAGCATGGCAGCTCCCTGCAGATTCTCTATGGTGTATTTTGTTCCCTTACACTTGATAATTACTGTCTTGTTACATCATGGTTATTAGCGAAGGTTTACTCAGATAATTAATTCTAGTGATATTAAATTAAAGTTGTGCATAAATTATGTTCACACTCAGTACGCATTGTTTTGAACTAATACATCAAAGGTCTTTCAGTGTACGTGTGACAAATTCATTTATAGGTAGCTCTATAATTGCATACAGAGCTCTTGTCACTTATACTGCTTATAAGGAAGGAATATATAGCATATTTGATGCCAAGTATATGTTTTTAAGATGTAATGTCAAGGAGAATATTATTGTCTACTGTTAGTCTGGTGCCTTATAGAACACTTCTATTTCTATAATTTCCAAAGAGATACATCCAAGTAGGTTCTTAATTTCATCTATCAGGAATCCAGGAAAACCTATTTTCTGTTTTTCATAGCATTTCTTAGCCATAACTTTGCTCTGGCTTTCCTTGTCAAATCGGTAAACATTAACTAATCCAAATACTTACTTTGCAGGAGGCCCAGAAGATCAATGGTGGTGGAGACACACAGGCAGATGGAGCCTGCAAACCAACAGATGAAAAAGAGGAGAATGTGGCAGCAGAAGTGGGATGGATGACGTCTGTGAAGGATTGGGCAGGAGTCATGATATCTGCCCAGACATTAACTGGCAGAGTACTTGTAAGTTTTCTATGATTTTCTATGTTTTCATTTTAAAGAACATTTTTTTAAGAAGCACTGTGTTCGAGCATTAGTGGAGGATTTTTGATTGGTTTGTTTCATCAGCTCTGAGTCAATCCCAATTTTCTCTTTTGGAAGTAAAAATAGCAGACTAATTCCCACTGTAAGAGAGAGGCAGAGACAGTAAATAAGAAAAACTGACTTCCAGACCACTCCCCAGCCTACTTCAGTACTCTGGCACCATGATTTTGAACTGTGCTACAAACAGTGAGTTTAGTAATTTCATATTAGGTGATAAAACTATAGGCCTATTTTAACTGGAATTAAAATTGTGCTGGGAAAAACAGAAGCCAATTTGGAAAATAAGCACAGTGTTACAAGTGCACATAGTGGTCAGAACTATAAAGCAAAGACAAGTTTGAATTGGCTATGCAATGAGATTTGTGATATTTTCAATAAACTAGTAATATGTTCTCTTGATTTTTTTCTTTATTAGCTTAGGAAATCCTTCAAACATGTGAACAGTTATGTATCAAATAGAGCCACATATTGATAATGTGTGGTTTAAAGATCCACTGAAAAAAAACCCTGTAGTTTTCTGCTTTATTTGAATATAATTACATTAGAGCCTTGTTAAATACTAAATTGCCAAGGGTTTTTTGTGGAGTTCAGTAAAAGGTGTCTCCTGTGTCATTTTGATTAGTTTCCTTGTTAGAATGCATGTACTTATAAACTAACAACTAAAGTGATTTAAATCCCATTTAAAACTTCTGAGAATCCCAATGAGACTTTGTAACTAGTTTGGATTAAACTGAAAAAGGATTTTTGTCTTTATTTATTTTGGTTAAGGGTTATTTTAGGTGAGTCAGTTTGGGTCTATAGAGTAATTATTTGGATGGGGGAGGGAAGGGAGGAAAAGAAAAGAAATTGCACTCCTTAATCAAGTCTTTTACAATAAAAAGTTGAGGTGACTCAATTGCCACTGTATTGTTTTTTTCTGCAAGAATATTATTTTGATTATTTTTTCTAAAAATATTTTCTTCCCATTTGCTTGTTAATTGCTGACTTTTATCTATAGCTTGAAAGTGTGTTCACTACTGCTTTGAGCACTATATATCTTCATTGTGAAACTGGCATATTGACATGTTGTCTTATGAAAAGTGGCATTTTGCATGTTTTCCTGAACTCTTCAGCATTGAAAAAGAAAAATGTTAGTTGTGCTTTTTGTTCCAGTTCAAGTATCAAGGGTAGAAATCACCCCAAACCAGAATCCTCTGCTCCTAGCTATGCAGTGAGAAATTGGCCTGTGTTGTTTTGACTGAGCTATATCCGAGCACAAATACAAACCAACTATCAAGACAAAAACCTAATATAAATAATATAAGATACATTGTACTGTATTTTTTTTCCACATACTGGAAGAACTTATTCAATTCTATTTGATGACTTAGTTTACCATTGCATTTTATAACAGACTAGCTGACCAATATCACTGGATTAGGTTATTTCTGAGAGTATATCTATAGTCAGGTGTAAGCAACAGGTATTGTGCACACCTGGGTTTATGAATATGACTAACTATCTGAGAAATATGTAGCAATGTATAGAATCTGTTAGTTAATTTTGTTTAGTTTAGAAAACAAGATGCATTTATTTTAATATAACACTCATCAGTTGGAGGACCATTTCCAGTGTGAACATTGGCTGTTCATGTAAATTTTACTTTCTGGATATATTTACTAAAGGCTAACTGCTTCAATGAACATTTGTACTAGAGGTAATATTCACATTACTTGTACATATAGGATGAAGCAAAATTGTTTGAAAATATTAGGACTTAACTCATTAATTCCTACTAATTTAATACAACCTCTTCCTGATAGCTGTATTTCTGAATCAAAATGTGGATTTTTTTTTTCCCCCTGAAGAAGAACTGGTGATTTCACTGTTCTATGAAATCAAAATCATATGAGATATCTGCAGCTAAAAAAATTATGGTACGCTTTTACATAGTCTGAGTTTAAATTAAAATTAGTCTTATACATTCAGTGTTTACAAAAAAAAAAGAAGCTTAAAAAGCAGCTCACTGAAAATGGAATTGGGAAGAGTTATAATTGATCTTCAATTCAGCATGATCACCTGAAGGCAGCTGTGTAACTGCTGCCTGGTTTTATTTGAGAAATGAAGGAGACAAGTTAGGCCAATCTTGAACACACATCAGTGTGAAGTAGAAGCTTATTTGTGTTTTCTGCTCATGGAAAAAACTTCAATCATTATTCTTACCTGGACAGCCATTTTCTTCACAGTGAATCTTAGTGGAATGTCGAGTGCTGTTTGTGGAATCTAAACACACTACTTTTTGGACCTCTCTCTGCTGAAATGTCACTGTATCTTTGACACTTTAATTTCTTCCCTAGTAACCTTACAAAACAACTTTCTAATTTATCAGAGCAGTTTGCCCAGGTGCTTTGGGAATGTTGAAACAAATATTTGTATAGTGGGTGCTCCTATAGTTACCTCTTTAATACTTAAACTTTTTGGCTACCTACTAGTGAAGAAAATAAAGGCCAACAGTATGGAAAATACAGGACAAAAATTTGTGTTTATGGGTCATAGTGTCATAGTGTAGTACAAAATTGGACATTTACATCAACATTTGCACAATTTTTTAGTGAAATCTAATGTTTCTGTTAAGGCAATAGATGAAAATCAGTACACAACCTTTAAAATATAGACTGGAAGACCTTTGTAGCTGTAGAACTAATTGAAACGTAACTTTTTTTTGTTTGTTTGTTTGTTGTTGTAAATTATTTTTTTCTAACATAATTTATGAACTCCTGTTTCAGTGCATCTGCTGGAAAGTAAGGGATGTTACTTTTTATTCATGATCTGGGTCATTGGAGACAGTAAAATGATTTAACCCATTCTTGACAAACACTCTGGAATCTTTGATAGATATGATTCCCCTCCACTCTGGTTTTCTTAAAAACATTTAATTCATTGGTGGTTATGAGGGAGGGAAGAGTTCTATAACTGAAATGAAAGTTGAAAAAACCCAACCATATTCCTTATCTGCTCCTCTCCCATTCCATTGATTAGAGGAAGAATTACATTTAAAGACTAAACAAAGAGAGGAGAAATTAAAACTTTCTCACGCCTTAAAATATTTTGCTTTTGATTTCAATTAAGTTTTCTCTTTCAAATGAAGTACCTGAAACTCTATGTAAAACTTATTTGTAAGGGATGTCTGGTCCTGTCAGCAGTGTTTGTTGTAAGTTATGGAAAAAACACCCCAGGGTTGTAATTTAATTTTTGGTGGTATTTTTAGTTGCACGTGGTAGAGCTAACTAGGTGAAGCTAAAGGTACAGGTATTGTGCAAATTAATCTCAATATGCAGAAAAACTTTTGCACATTCTCTGTGGAAGTGATTCAGAACACTGACAAAATTAACTGTCTCCCTGGCACAAAAGCTTCTCATACTGGTGCTCTTATGCAAAACTGGATCTTGTTTGCATCTACTCTTTCTTAGTTTTTCGGAGCACAGAAGAATTGGTGCTATCTGTTTTGTGTGGTCAATTATGTCTGGTTCTTCAGTATGAAATGCTTGTATAATTTCTTAGTGTGCTACTCCCACACAATGTGACTATTGGAGAGCAGGTTTACTGGAAAGAATAGTGTCTCAAATGTATCTTGTTAATATCTCCTCGTCTGCCCTTTGCTCATGGTTTCTCAGGGTTGTTTTTGTTTTAATTCCAACAGAGAACCATTAGGAAACAGATTTCTGTACTTTGAGTCTCTAGGAGTAGTTTTCATTTTGTTAAAAGAGTTTTCTTTTCTTTATTGTTGTGGTGAGCATCATAAGAAATGATAATGGGAAATTTTAAATAATTAAACCATCAAATTTTCAAAACATTTGACCATTACTTGCTTTATCACTATGTTAACTGAGTGTCTCCTAGCCTGTAATTCTGTTAATGACAGCAGGAATAGGTAGAATAGACATGAAAGTGCAGGTGCCTGGGATTTTACTAATATTGCAGTTGATTTGGTAGTTTATGTAAGTATTGTGAAGAAAAAAGTACTAAAATGGAAATAGACATTCTTACTGCTTTAGGAGCTAAATTCTACTCCTGACATTTCAGAAGTGATTTAGGCACAAAGGAATATTCACACTACCCAGTTTCATCTGAAGGGCAGGAAGAGATTTGTAGAGGGTGATCCAGAATGTCCTTCAGTAAGAAACTGTTTTTGTTTTTTGAAGTAGTGTAGCTGGCTAAGACAAGTCCCTACAGTTGTGTCAGAATATCCTTTTTTCCTCATACTTCAGGTTTTAAAAGCACAACTGGAATGTAGTGTTCTTGGTGATGCAACCATTGAAAATGTGACTTTTGCTCTTAAACAACATAGATGAGAATTTGGCATTTGGTTTAAAAATGTGTCCATATTAAATTGCATAAGTACATGATTTAATTGAACCCATGCAGTTCTGTTTGCAGTTGATGTTGAGTGGCATAAATATAAATAATAGTAGAAGGTAGCAGTTTATTTAAAATCTATTCAGGGAAATATGATTTACTTTGAAGTGCCATATAATGCTGTAGATGATGGAAGTATTGGATAAAAATTCCTGAGATGGGTTTCTAAAGAAGAATCAGAAACATTCATAATTAATCTGAAGATGCAGGAAATTAAAGGTATTTATGAGCTGATTTTGCTTCCTGAAATTATTTTTTTTAATCATTCGAGTAAGAAGAAAAAGACTTCCTTAATTAGGTTGAGTGTTTGATCAACAATATACATATGACTTTATTTTGTATAAGTTGACACAGTTCAATCTAGGACCCAGTTGAATGTGGACTCTCCTTTAAACTGATAAAGAAAAATCATTATTTCAACTGTAAATCCAGGAGATAAAATAGTGGAGAAAATTATTGTTTGTTCTATTTTTAACACATGGCCTGTGTTATGAGCTTTATATAGCTTGTGCTAAGCACCATGT